TTAATGTGTTGATGTTAATGTAGAAGGTTGTTGTGAATTCAATGTTATGTAGACTGATTCAGAAACGAAAGTGTCAAAATGATGAGAGTGATAAGCTTTGATTTGTCTCAGACTCTCAAGTTAGACTCATTCAGAAATCTGAAACGAACTTGCACTTGCATTCACACTCTCCGCTCTTTATTACGCTTTTGTTAAACCAACCAAATGAATAATTGGGCCCAATTTCAAATGAAAAAGCCCATGGAACATCCCAACAAGGCAACTCTACAGTGCGGCTCATTTTTCTCTTAATCTTTAATGCGCTCATTCAGTGTATATCTTGTTCTAAACGCATCAAATACTATTTGATTTTCTCGTTGTAAAATGTGTAGAATATTCATTACAAACTTGTTCTATTCACACGACAACTTCTTTTACGAGTGGGACATTCGAAGGGTGCAGCCAAAGTCCCTCTTCTGCTTCCTTCTCATTTTCCTCTTCCAACTGCATTACCCAATTTCCTCTCTTTCTCGACCGGAAATGGCATCTCTCGCTACATTGGGAACACGGACAGAGGTCAAGGGGAACTCTTTCTATGCTTCTTCGCACCTCAGCATCAACAAGGACCAAGAGGTTCAAATCGCTGACCTAAAGCTGCACCTCTTACATAATTTTGCAAAGCTTTAGCCGTTTAGGGGTTTGTGTGTGGTAGGTTCATTGAAACTCTGGAACCAGATTTGTATTAATGGGTTCTCATCAAAATCAATTAGTATTTTGTACATCATTAAATTAAGCTAGTTTTTGTGCAGGTGGAGAAGTTAGCGAGGAGATAAAGTCGCTAAAGAGCGCACTTCTGTTTCCGGATGCGAGGTGCAGGAGCTGAATCAGGCAAGGCAGACCATCCCTAACCTTCAAAAGCCAGCTCCAATGCATTGCTCAGGTAATTTATACTCTCTGTGACTTGGAATCTGAGTATTCTATATAGCTCTTAGCTAGCATAACAACTCTTTTACTTGTCAGAAAGCTGTTACTGGCAAGCACAGACGTCTTCTTATGATTCACTGGTAAGAACTAGCAAATAGGATCAAAATCTGAATATGGAATTAACAACATATACCGGAAAGAGGAGAAGATGTGTTATTAAAACCAACTGAATGCATAGCAGGAATTCAGCTCAGGTAGCCCTGATGGATTGGATTTGGCTCCTCTAGAAGATCTGAATCCATACAAAGACCAAGCCCAAGGTGCTTGCTTCTTAACCTTGATCAGAAACAAAGCTCTGGTTTTTGGTGGTCATTAAATAGACTCGGCTTAAACTTTGATATCTTGTGCAGCAGTTTGAGAGGAATTCAGCAGAAGAGAGCTTTTCAGGGAGAAGCAGCACTGTAACAACAACAGGAGGAGGAGCCAAAATCAGATCCGAGTTCAAAAAGTGTAAAGCTGTCAAGGAGCTCAGAGGAGAGCAAAGGATGGTATAGGGGAGGGAGAATGTTTTAAGGTAAAAAGAACAAGTTCTGAATCTTGCTTCATATTTTCCACTTGATGGGGTTTGTAAATAAAGAAGAAAGCAAATAAAGAGAGTAAACGTGTGTGGTAGGGCTCCATGATTATTACGTCTCCTCCTACGTAAGGCTTTCTAGATGATTTCTGTTTCACCGAAATTGCTTATTATCTTTTGAATTTTTTTTTTTGGAAAAATTTGCATATTATCCCCACACTCATTTACTTTTCTTCTTGAATACAGACACAGTAGTGTTCTGTCCACCCAGAAATAATCAAAGGGCTTTGAAAACTAGAGACAGAGAGAGAGAGGAGGCAATTACACTAAAAAGTTTCATTTAAATCAATGGAACATGATACGTATTTTACAAAACATATATATATATATGTAAATGAAAGGTTTTCAGGTTTGTTAGAATTTGTCTTGTTCGTAAAGAAATCTAATTGATATAGGAGATGGCATCTCTAGAAAGGGGACACCAATTCATGCTTTTAAGTCTCATCCTCTTCTTCTTCCTCTTTTACCCTTTTTATGACTTGTTTATTCCCTCTATTGAAAACAAGAAAAAGGAAAAAGAAAAGGTTTTGTTCAAACAAAACAAAAACAGAAGAAAAAAGGTTAATAGTCAGAGAAGTATTTGTGTTGGCTATTTGTACGTAGCTCTGGTTGGTTCCTCATCTTTTCTGCCAGCAAGACACAAAAGAGAAAAAGAGATTGAAGGAGGTTCCACGAACGGCCTTGGATTTTTCCTACGTACGTATTGTCAGTCATGTGCTGATGGATGACGCAAACGCGTTCTCTCTTTCTTCCCTCTTTTGCCCCTCACTTTCCTCTCTTTTGCCATCCCATGTACCACCGTACATTCTCTTTATCATTCTTCATCTATAATGCAACTTTACTTGTTCTTTGATAAATGCTATACCTTTTTTTTTTTTTGTGTGTGCTAAATATCATTAAATGAACAGTTTAGGTATTACAAAAGAGTATAACCTCAAGATAGAGCAACCAAGACAAAAAAAAAATTACAATAAGGTTGGAAAA